GCAGGAGCCAGGTCACCTGCAGGTCCCGTTGGGCACCTGCAGGCAGAGAGAGATGTCCTGTTGCCACTCAGAATGCCATGGCATTTTAACAGTGGCACGGAGCCTGCTTGCTGCAAGGCAGCTGAAGTGGGTCAGTTGTGAAATGCCATTCAACAACACATTATGCAACAGCACGCTCCTAATTACAGAGCATCAGCCCACCAGAGCATCCCTCTGCCGCAGCAGCCCCGGCGCTCAACAGGGACCTTAGTGTCTGGGATGCTGTTATTCAGCCCTTGGAGGAGGCGCAGCAGGGAGCACTTGTACTGATACAAAGAGCTCTTCTTGGGTAGCGCTCCCAACAGAGCTGGCCTCTGGCAGGAGGGAGATGGCAGCTGCTGCCCATCTTGCTCCTGAAGCGGCCTGACCTGAGGCATTGGATGTGGTCGCCCAGAAGCTTTAAGGGAGCTCCTGTCCCTTATGGACCATTTCATTTGTGGAACTGGATGGCTCCAGCCTTGTCTGCTGGTGCTTACATTTCCCAAGGGGGCTCTGAGCACAACTGGCCATGGCCAAAGGAGACTGAGAACACTTTTGAGGCCAGATCTGAAGGAGGCATAAATGTGTGAAGCCAAATTAGCTGTGGAGAACAGGCACCCTGCTTGGTCTGGAGTTTATTGGGTGCTTCTGTGTATGGCCATCTCGGGGCAGGGAGCCCCACTTGGTGGAGCACAGGGTATACTGTTCTGCTGATAAGCTGCCAGGCAGCATCTGTGGAACACAAAATGGGCCACTGGAGATGGAGCTGCTTTAATGTGGGATCAGGGCTCCCTGAAGCCTGTTCCCCTGCTCTACCTCCAGCTCTCATGCACTGCCTGTATCTGCTGGCACGAAACCAGACATAACAGCGTGCGGTTGCTCACTTCCAGTTTCTTTTCCTCTCCCTCCTGTCCAGAGGAATCCAATAAGAAGCATCCCTTCCCCTGCCCCACGTCCTACCGCACAGCACTCACGTACTACCTGGACATCACCAACCCGCCCCGCACCAACGTGCTCTATGAGCTGGCTCAGTACGCCACGGACCCCAGCGAGCAGGAGCGCCTCCGGAAGATGGCATCGTCTGCTCCCGAGGGCAAGGTGGGAGCCGAGGCCTTCCCAGCATGGCTGCTGGGCTCAGCTGGGTGCTGGGGTGTCCCCAGAAGGGATGCAGAGAGCTGGGGGGGGTTGCTGCTCTCATAGGGCAGTTGTAATGCGTGCGCCCTCTTTGCCCACAGGCTCTGTACCTCAGCTGGGTGGTGGAAGCCCGCAGGAACATCCTGGCCATCCTGCAGGATATGCCCTCGCTCTGCCCCCCCATTGACCACCTGTGTGAGCTCCTGCCCCGCCTGCAAGCCCGCTACTACTCCATCGCCTCCTCCTCCAAGGTGAGCGTGCGGGGCTGAGGCTGCTGAGGGACCCGTTCAGCTGCAGCCCCACGGTGCCATGGGGGGGGGGCTGCACATGGGGAACTCACCCTGGGAATGCTTTCTGTGAGAGGGGCACCTTTAGTTCTGTCTATGCATGAGGGGATCATCCCAGCTGCCACGGGGGTGCGGAGGATCCCAAGCTGCATCCGGTTGTACTTGGATACCACCACCCTCCTCTTCACCCATAGGCCTTGCTTTCAGGGTTTGGAAGCAAGGTGGCACTTTAAGGGTTGGTCAAAATTCACTCCTTGCTTTGTGCCTGAAGCCCTTGAGGCCGTTGGCGTTACTGAGGGGAGCTCAGTGGTCCTGTGATGAGTTGGGTGCAAGATGGAAGCCCTGTATGGGATCCAGTGGGAGGTTTGGTCTGCGTTGATTTGTTGGGTTAAACTGACCCCCTGAACACACTGAGCCGTGGGGCTGCCTCTGCCTGGCACTGACCCCATAATTCCCTGCAGGTTCACCCCAACTCCATCCACATCTGTGCCGTGACGGTGGAGTACGAGACCAAGACGGGCCGGGTGAACAAAGGGGTGGCCACCAACTGGCTCAAGGGCAAGGTGCCCACTGACAACGGGAGCAGCTCCCTGGTGCCCATGTACGTGAGGAAGTCGCAGTTCCGCCTGCCCTTCAAACCCAGCACCCCCGTTGTCATGATCGGACCGGGCACTGGCATCGCCCCCTTCATGGGCTTCATTCAGGAGCGGGCCTGGCTCAAGCAGCAGGGTGAGTGCCCCTGGGACCGGAGCTGCTGCAGGAGGGTGCTTTGTGGCATCGGGTGGTGCAGCTCGTGCTGGGCACATCACCCGTGGGGTTAGCCAAGAGCGGGGTGAACGGCAGCAAAGGGGTTTTGCTCAGCTCAGGATGCTCTGTGCTCCTCTGGCCCATAGAGGGGGGCAGATAGACCTGGGTCAGTTCTCTGGCTGTGTCTGGATAACCACAGCCGTCACTTAACTCATTTCTGTGCTTGCTCCTGGGAATCGGTCTCGAGCTTCCCCTCAGGAACAGAAGCACAGAATCCCAGACTGGTTTGGGTTGGAAGGGACCTTAAAGCTCACCCAGTTCCAACCCCTGCAATGGGCAAGGAACCCTTCCACTGGAGCAGCTTGCTCCAAGCCCCTGTGTCCAACCTGGCCTTGAGCACTGCCAGGGATGGGGCAGCCACAGCTTCTCTGGGCACCCTGTGCCAGCGCCTCAGCACCCTCACAGGGAAGAGCTTCTGCCTAAGAGCTCAGCTCAGTCTCCCCTCGGGCAGGTTCAAGCCATTCCCCTTGGCCTGCCCCTACAGGCCCTTGTCCCAAGCCCCTCTCCAGGTTTCCTGCAGCCCCTTTAGGCACTGGAGCTGCTCCAAGGTCTCCCAGGATGAGGGGAGGGGGAAGGTGAGGGCTGCAGGATGCAGCTGATGGGTGCTGTGTGTCTGCAGGCAAAGAGGTGGGTGAGACGGTGCTGTACTACGGCTGCCGCCGCGAGCGCGAGGACTACCTGTACCGTGAGGAGCTGGGCCGCTTCCAGCGGGATGGGGTCCTCACCCAGCTCCACGTCGCCTTCTCCAGGGACCAGGCTGAGAAGGTACCACCCTGCTCCCCATCAGTGGGGAAAGGCCCTGAGGGCTGGAGCTTTCCCCTTGTAGCCATAGGAGCACCCAGCACCACCGCTGTCTTGTGCAGCCGTGTCCATGGGCTCGGCTTCCCCACCTCCCCATTAGCTGTGATATGGGGGCTCTGCTCCCCTCGCCTCACTCCTGCCTTGTTTCTTACCAGGTTTATGTTCAGCACTTGCTGAAGAAAAACAAGGAAAACATCTGGAAGCTGGTTCATGAGGGGAATGCTCATATCTACGTGTGCGGGTAGGTGCGGTGGCAGGGAGAACGTTCCTGATGAGGGTGACTCGGTGCTACCAGGGTCACACTGTCCTTGTCCAGGGTGGGGGGCGATGGGTTGGCGTGGAATTGTCCCTGCTTGGGTGTCAGGAGCTGACAGGGGCTCTGATGCCTCCCTCATGGTCCCCTTTCCTTCCAGTGATGCTCGCAACATGGCCCGGGATGTGCAGAACACCTTCTACGAGATCGTGGCTGAGTTTGGGAACATGAGCCAGCCCCAGGCCATGGACTATGTAAAGAAACTGATGACAAAGGGCCGGTATTCCTTGGATGTCTGGAGCTAAGAGCAGGGCCATGGAGGGAACAGGTCCCCAGCCTGGGCCCATGGGAGGTGGGAAGTGCCTGCTCGCCTGCTGCTGCTGTGGGTGATGCTGTCCCCAGCATGCAGCTACCCTGGTGTCACTCCCAACCCCTCCTGGGCCATGGCAGCCCCAGGGCAGGGTGCGTGCCCTGGGGTGGATGGGGTTGAGAGGGGCAGGGGGGGTAGCTGGGGCTGCGGTGCTGCTGGTACCCAGGGAGCACCTCATGGCACCAGCACTGAGGTAGGGATGCGGCTGATGCGGGGCAGAGGGGATGGATGGTGCTGGGGGAGCTCTGGGGTCCTGCCCTGAACATGAAGTGCTGCCTTATCCCGTGTGGGGCTGGTGTGAGGGCACGGCACTGCCCTGTGCCACCAGCACCCCGCAGGGACCCTGCTCCAGTCCCCGCTGCCCACCTTTGCTGCAGCGGGGATGGGATGCCTCATCTCCCCTCTGTCTGGGGGTGGGTCTCAGCCCTCAGGGGCCCTGCAGCTCCCCTGTGCCCAGCCCCTTCCTCCCGCTGTGCACGGTCATTTTATAAATACTGTTTTTATTTTAACATCTTTTGTGATTTAATCGGGGGGGGGGGGGGGGTGGAGAGGCTCCTTCAGGCTGTCCAATGGCTCTAAATTATTTAAATACATCTGCCCTTGGAATAAAACCCCTCTTTGTGTCCTCTGCTTCCTGCGATGGCTCTGCACTGGGGCACAGTATTTGAGGGGGGGGCAGAGCTTCTCTTCTCCCATCTCTTGAGGACACTGAGGTCCTGCTGGGCTCAGCTTGGCCAAAGGGAAGGTGTCCACAGCGCCCTTCACCCCAGGGGCACTTGGTGATGGTTCTTCCCTCCCCTTGATGCTGTGTCAGGGGCCCACTGCCACAGGAGCCAAAACCACAGGAGCTGTTGTGACACTGCCGCAGCGACCCGGGCAGCACCTTCCCTTTATTGTCACAAGTGCATCCCTCAGGGATGCCGAAGGTGCTGTTTGCACAGCTCCAGGATGAAGCCTGGATCAGGCTCGTGGTGTTCCCACCCTTCTGGTGCTGTGGCTCCTCCACCTCTGCCCTGGGGCTTTATGGTAAAGGAGGAGCTGGGGTAAGAGTCAGCACTTCCAGCTGCTTTGGAACGTAAAGAGGACCGCCTATGAGGGCCTTGGAAGGGGTGACCGTCACCCCTGGATACAGCCTTGTCCCAGTGGTGCATTGGGATGGGGAGCACTTACAGAGCTGGGCTGACCCCAAGGACCAATAACTGTCTTCAGGGCTGAGGGGAGGGAGCAGCAGCCCCGGGCACGCCGCTCCCCTGCAGGTAAAGGCAGATGGGGCAGGAGGTGCAGGATGCTCCCGACTCCAGGGGAGTGACAGGGACGTGGATCCAGCACCGCAGAGATCACACGGTCTGTTCCCATCCCACACCCAAGGGATGGGGTGAGACACCAGAGTCTGGACGGCAACGAGGAGATACAGGGATGGGAGATGGAGCTGGTGGGGAGAAACAGTCCTGGCCCCCAAGCTGCCCCCCTTCAGTCCTGCTTCATGTCCTTGTTCTTGTTATGGAACTTCTGGTGCACGACGCGGAGGGTGGTGAAGAAGTTGCCCAGGAAGAGGATGAGGAAGGGGAGGCCGCACATGAGGACCTATGGAGGGATGGGTGAGCAGGAGCGATGGGCGAGGGGCACCCTCTGCCCAGGCCCCCCCCCCCCCCCTTACCTGCCACTCCTTGCATTCTGGGTGCTGGAGCATCCGGAAGAGGGTGACTGCATTGTAGAGCTGCCAGAACTGCAGGAAGAGAGGAGACAGGGGGAGGTTTAGGCTCAGCCCCGTGTTGATGCTCCCCCAGCTGCCCCCTTTGGGCTCAAATACCAAGCACCAACACAACTGGTGGAGGTTGGGGGTGCTCTGTGTTTGCTGAAAGCACCTCCCTGTATCCACATTGTGCAGCTAAAGCAGCCTGCAGGGGCCGTGGGGATGCTGCAAGTGCTGGAGCAGCTCTGCTCTGGAGCCAGGCTGAGAGCTGGGCTGGGTCCTGAAGGGGAGACCTGAGAGCAGCTCCAGTGCCTGAAGGGGCTGCAGGAAACCTGGAGAGGGGCTTGGGACAAGGGCCTGTAGGGACAGGGCAAGGGGAATGGCTTTAACCTGTCAGAGGGGAGACTGAGCTGAGCTCTTAGGCAGAAGCTCTTCCCTGTGAGGGTGCTGAGGCGCTGGCACAGGGTGCCCAGAGAAGCTGTGGCTGCCCCATCCCTGGCAGTGCTCAAGGCCAGGTTGGACACAGGAGCTTGGAGCAAGCTGCTCAAGTGGAAGGGGTCCTTGCCCATTGCAGGGGTTGGAGCTGGATGAGCTTTAAGGTGCCTTCAACCCAACCTCTTCTATGACCTGTGCTGCCAGGAACCCAGCAGGATCTGCTCCCACCTGAGGCTCTGGCCTCTTGCCTCAGTGTGCACTCACATGCCCGAAGAAGAGGAAGGGGAGCAGGAATGTGAGGCCTCTCCACATCCAGGACTGGAAACCCTCTGCAAAGGAAGAAGGTTTTGAGGACCCGGGAATGTGCCAGCTGGGGCCTGGTAGTCCCAGGAGAGCAGGAGCAGGGGAGCATCCACCCTATGGGATGCTGCTGCCTCATGGGAGATGCTGCTCTCAGAGCTTTGGCTTCACTTGCAGCTTTCCCTGCTTTGCCAGTGATAAACCAGAGTCGAACTAACCCCGAAACTAAAGCCACTGTCACCATTGCCTTGACCAGAAACCAGAGCTCCCAGTGAGCCCAGTGCCAGGCTGGGGCTGGGATGGAGGCAGTAGTGGCAGCAGTTCCACTGGGATTGGGAAGATCCTGGCTTACCCACAGTCAGATCCATGTTGTGCCTCTCGCCCAGCGCTCGCAGCCGGTACAAGCACCCGCTCTGGTAGTAGTACTGCAGGAACTGCACAAAGCCTGCGAGGAGGGAATGGCCATGGTCAGCACGGGCCCAGGCATCAGCCTGGTGCTGGGACAGCACCACACTGCCCATCCCAGCACCAGGATGGAGGCCAAGGGAAGACCCAGGTGAGCCCAAGAGCTGGGAGCAGCTACAGCCAGGTCTGCCCATGCTATGGAGGCAGGCAGGCATGCATGTCCAGCCCTCTGTCACCCCCCCCATGGCAGCACTTACTCTGGTACATGGAGAAGGAGAGGAACTGGTTCCTGAACATCTGGTACATGAGCCCATCTGGCCTGTGGAGAGACAGGCGTGGGGTGAGAGGAGGCCCAGCCAGCCCTACTGAAGTGGGGGGACACCCCAGGTTGTGAAACACCACCTTGTGTTTCCCAGCCCACCCTGCCTGGTGAGGAGCACATGGAGCTGACTGCTAGATCCATGGAGGAGGATTATGGCCATGGCTTGGGGCAGCAAAGGTCCCTGAGCCATCCACAGCCCAAGCAAGGACCCCCATGAGATGGGGGACACAGACTTACCATGTCAGCATGACCCCCGAGAGGAAGGTGGAAACGTAGTGATGGAAAACCCACCAGCCTTTGATTCTGGAAGGCAGACAGAGAGAAGGGGGGGTCAGGTCCTGAGCACCCAAACACACACCAAGAGAGCAGGGCACTTCCCACTGCTGCTCCACCTTCCCACCCCACCTCTGCGTGGGGAGCTCCTCCTGCCCCACTCCTACAGCTCATCCCCAGGCTTTGCTACACACCCTGGGTAGGAGGAAGCCGCTCCCTTGGGAAGCATGGAGCTGTGTGATGGGCCCCAACTCCCAACAACTCCTTATAGAGAAGGACAACTCGCTGCATGCCCCCTTCCCAAGCCCATGGGACTCACTTGGATCCGTTGTTGATCAGGATGCTCTCCCGGATGGTGAGGGTGCAGTAGTACCACACCAGGAGGAAGTTAAAGACAGCGTCTGTCACCCTGGTGTCACACAAAGCAGGGTGTAAAGGCAGCAGCAGAGGCGCTGGGACAGCAGGATGCCCACCAAGGCAGTGAGAGCTGCTTCCCCACCATCACCATGGCCACAGTGAGACCACAGCAGCCACAAAAGCCATCCCAGCTCCAGGGCAGCAGCCAGATCCTTTGCCAGGGTCTCCTCTGGACCTTTCAGGTTGGGACAGGAGGACACAAGGGCTCTGGGAGGAGATCCCTGCCCAGTATCCAAGCCAGACTCACCTGGTATTGATGAGGAACCGACAGGAAGAAGAGATAATGAGTAAGATGATGGTGAGGTAGAGCTTGAACTTCTCATACTCGTCTTTATAGGCAAACCTGCAGGGAAACACAAGGACAGGCTTGGAGCAAGGTGGCTGCTGGAAATCTGTGTCCTCCCATCCCACCCAGCTGGGCAAAAGCACTTTTCCATTGGGGATCATTAGGACATGCTCAGGAAAAGCCCCATCTCCCAGGTATTCCTGAGGAGAGCACCCCAAGCTGCTTTCACAAGGTGAGACACCATCAAGACACCCCAGAGGACTCTGGGCAGATGGGTCTGCCTCCAAGGAGAGGCTTTGGGGAATGGAGGGAGGGAACAGGAGCTCCTGGCTGGGCACCTCTGGCACTGGTGTCCCACCACGGGGATGCTCTCAGGAGCCAGAACCAGCCCTTGGTGTTTCCCCAAGGGAAGAGGAGGGGTTTGCCAGTGGCTGCACGGGTCTGTCTCTCCTGGAAGTGCCCAACACAGGGGAAACCCAGCACGGCATCGGTGGAGGATCCCATGTAGCTTGTCAGAGCTGCGTGTCCAGCCCAGCCCAGCCCAGCAGCAAGGATGTGAGGAGTTGAGGGCTCAGTTGGTTCTGGATGCAGGACCCGCACTGTAGGTCACAGTGTCTGCACATGTCCCTGGTGCCAGGGGGGTCCCCAACCATGCAAAGCACCAGGTGCAGGAGCCGTACTTGGCCTGCTTGCTGAGCAGCGTCACGTTCACGTTCCCGAGCACCAGACTCAGGTACAACCTGGGGAGAGAGCAGAGGCGTTAGGGCAGGCAGTGCTCTGCAGAGCCATCCCATGGCATCCAGGAGCTCCCAGCTGTCTCCCACCCGGAGCTGCCAGGCAGCGTGACTGGCACAAATGTGCTGGCATCACCTCCCAAGGGCACGGGGACGGGTGGCTGAGCACACCCCGCTCCTGGTTCAGGCTGGGATAGGGGTTATTTTCCTCCTAGTAACTGGTGCCATGCTCTGGTTTGGCTTTAGTGTGAGAATAGCACTGATAACAGCTATGGTTTAGGATAAGCACTTCTTAGCAACAAGGACTTCCCAGTTTCCTGTGCTCTGCCAGTGAGGAGCTGCACAAGAGGCTGGGAAGGAGCAGAGGCCTCACCTGGCCAAAGGGGTATTCCATGGCAGAGAACCTCAGGCTCAGCATAGAAACTGGGGGGAGTTGGGTGGGAGCCACTGGTTGGGGATCAGTCAGCAGGTGGTGAGCAGTTGTATTGTGCATCATCTGCCTGCCTCAGGCTTTAGTCCTCTTCCCTATTATTATTGTTATTATATTCTACTTTATTTCAGTTATTAAACTTATCTCAACCCCCAGGTTTCACCTTGTTCCTATTCACCCTATCCCACAAGGGAGGACTTAGTGGCTGCCTGGTATTTCTCTGCTGGTGTGGTTAAACCCTGATAACACCCCATATGTGCCACGGGTACAGGGGTGTTACCAGGGCTTCCCCTGGCCCATGGCCACCATTCAAGGGCAGGTGAAGGCCACTGGAGGCAGAGGCTCAGCCTGGCTCTTGCCCAGGTGTCCTCCAGCGCGGCTGTGAGGCTGTCACCAGGAGCAGGGTGAGGACGTGGTGTTTCACCCAGGGACAAGGTGCCTCTTACCCGTTCTTCTTTGGCAGGTAGGCCTCCATCTCAAAGAACACGTTCTGCCTCTCCTTTATCAGGCTCTGGGTCTCCTGGATGGTCTCCTGCTGCTCGGGGCTCGCGTGGGCTTTGCATCTGGGGAGGAAAGAAGGTGCTGGCGTCAGGATAGCGTCTGAAACACACTCAGCATGTGCTGGAACTCAATACATGACTGTCTCAGGCAAGGACACCCCAAGGACAGGGAAGATGGGCCGGAGGCAAGTCCATGACTCCGTGTGCAGGGCGAGCTCCTCTGTCAGGCTGGGATGTTGCTCAAGGAAAGGAAGCAGGAATGAGAGCGAGGTGGGTCCTTTCACCCTTTGGGAAGGATGGGGAGAGCTCTGTGCAGCTCAGCTTCCCTGCAAAGCCCTTGCAAGCTGCAAACAAGGCGCAAATGGGGGCAGAGGAAGGGGGAGCTGAGGAGGATCCACCTGGGTGAGCTCAGGGCTCCGCAGCTCTCTGCTACCAGCGAGGCTGCAGGAGGGGCTGTGCTGGAGACAGAGCTGAGGTCTGACTGTCCCGTCCTTCGCAGGACAGCCACTTACTTCTTGAAGGACAACGCCAGCTCCTTCAGCCGCTTCTTCTGTCGTGCGATGGAGCTGGAGATCCCGTCCTGCAGCTTGGTTAACTCCTCGAGCTTCTGCTTGTACAGCCTGTGGTTGTCCTGGGGAACAGAGAACAGCACACGCTACAGCTGCCTGTCCTCTGCACGGGCATCTGCTGTCCTTAATTCACCTGCACAGCACTGGTACCCAGAGCTGTCTGCATAAGGACAGCCTGAGGGCAGAATCAGCCCCTGGGGATGCCCATCCCCAATCCCAAGGGATTTATCTACAGGTGCAGGCACATCCACATGGCACAGCCGGCTCGTGCCTTGCCCACGGCTTGGGTCTGCCGCCTTTATGAAAGCTTACCCAGCAACCCAGCCCCGCTGCAGGGATGCTCCCATCATTGGGAGTCCATTGATTGTGGCATAGGGGAATGGAAAGACTCAGGGGGAAAATACTGCTGGTGGGAGGGATATAACTGAGAGCCACGCAGGAGCAGTGGCTTTGGCTGCAGGGATGGGATGAGCGGCATTCCCTCCTGGAGGTTTGTGCACCACCGGCTCATGGCTCCATCCCAAGCGCCCCAAAGGAGCTGGGACAAGGAGGCTGGGGCAGCAGTAACCCAACCGCACCTGGGTCAGGCCAGATCCCATTCCTCACTATATTTAGAAGGGGAAGGCGAGAGCATGCTGCATCAATGCTGCCGCTTGTCCAGGTCAGCTGGAGCACAGCCTCAGCACCACAACCCATCAACCAAAATAAAACAATGATCCACTAAAAACCCAACCAACACCCTAATCCCCACACTTACCTCCCTATCCATCTCACTCCTACCACTCTCCGCTATAATCCTCACCACCATCTAAGAAACTTGGGATAATATCAAACCAAGGGCAATCAAAGCCTTAAACAAGAGTTAAACTCTCTTAGTTTCTGCTCACACCAACCCTTGGACCAGACCTTGACGCACGCATATACACACGTTTCAGCTGCCGTGGCTCTTATCGAGCACTTCATCATCAGCTCTCAAAGGTCAAAGGGATGCAGAGGACCCGTTCTCCTCCTGGTGATGACGAGCGGCACGGTGGGAACGGAGCCCCGAGTGCCGCGGCAGTGATTTATGTCCCTGTCTCTCAATGGACGTTCCCATCGAGCTTTCCTGCTCCCCACCCGGAATCCCCTCCTGCTGTTGCGCTGGCACCTTCAGCCGTGCCCAGGACCCATCCCAGGCGCAGGGGCTGACCCGGGACATCCACGCAACCCCGATGGAGCAAGAGGAGGTTTCTCAAAGCCTCCCTTGTCCCAGATCCGGGCCCGGCCGCAACGCAGCCGCTCCCGGGAGGGAAGGAGGAGGACCGGGGACCGGCGCACATGCGGCACAGGACCCTTGCCCAACCTTCTCCTTGGGAGACCGCTGAGCCCTGCGCGCTCCTCGCCAGGCACCCAGCGCCCCGGCGCTCCCACAGGCGGGCCGTGCCCCGGCCGGAGCCCTGCTCCTGCACCCGCCTTGGTGCTGAGGGGGCCGGAGCCCCCCATGCGTTTCCCCCCGCTGCCCTCAGCGCCCGGTCCCGGCGCTGTCCCCGCGGTACCTGGATGCGCTGGAAGCCGTCCTGCAGCTCCTCCCACTCCCGCAGGCACTCGGCTGCTGAGCCCGCCATGGCCGACATGGCGGCGGCGCCCGCGGCCCGCCCGCTTCCGGCACGCCCCGGGGGCGGGGACAGAGGCAGGGCCGGGGAGATGGAGCCATGGGTGCAGGGGATGGGGGCGGATGGAGGGACCTTAAAGCTCACCCAGCTCCAACCCCTTCCACTGGAGCAGGTTGCTCCAAGCCCCTGTGTCCAACCTGGCCTTGAGCACTGCCAGGGATGGGGCAGCCACAGCTTCTCTGGGCACCCTGTGCCAGCGCCTCAGCACCCTCACAGGGAAGAGCTTCCTTATATCTAACCTGAACTTCCCCTGTTTCAGTCTGAACCTATTCCCCCTTGTCCCATCACTGCAGTCCCTCATGAATATCCCCTCTCCATCATCCCTATATGCCCCCTTCAGATACTGGAAGGCTGCTATGAGGTCTCCACGCAGCCTTCTCTTCTCCAGGCTGAGCAGCCCCAACTTTCTCAGCCGATCTTCATATGGGAGGTGCTCCAGTCCCTGATCATTCTCGTGGCCTCCTCTGGACTTGTTCCAACAGATCCATGTCCTTTTTATGTTGAGGACACCAGAACTGCACACAATGCTCCAGGTGAGGTCTCACAAGAGCAGAGCAGAGGGGCAGGATCACCTCCTTGGACCTGCTGGTCATGCTCCTGTTGATGCAGCCCAGGACACGGCTGGTTTCTGGGCTGTGAGCTGTGTTCTGGTTCTCCTTGCAAACAGCAGCCTGGCCCAAGGAAGCCAGGAGGGACTAAAAGCAGGATCACAGCCGTTTCCCAGCGCACAGGGCTCTTGGCAGCTCCAAGGGCTGTGCTGCTGGCAGCACAGGTGGGTCTGGGTGTGAGTTCACACGCAGAAGGCAGGGACTTCCAGCTTCCACTGGGACTGGAGCAGGGAAATCCTGACATCACCCCTCCGGGCTGGAGGCAGGCGCAGTCACATCCTGGATTCACTGTCCCACGCTATGGACTGGCAAACCTTTCCAGGGACAACCCCAGTGACTGCCCCATACCTGGGGTAATGACTGTGCCCAATAGCATGGTTACCATCCCCTTGGCTTACAAGAGAGACGAGCAGCACGTAACGGGCTGCATCCCACAGGATTTGCTTTCCCAACCTGCTGCCTTCAACAGCACAGGTTAGTTCCCCAAATGGCTTCAAAACTTGATCCCCAAAACCATGAAGCCAAAGAGGAACGCCATTCTATTTTATTTGAAGCTCAAGTAGCTTTCAACCAGCACAGGGGTACAGATGGGGAAATGCCATTCCCTGCTGGGTGTTCTCTTCAGTAGTTGAGTTCAGAGATGCCTGTGATCTTGGTCTTGTGTATTTTGGTCTCCCAGTCTAAGAGCTGTTCCACAAAGCCTTGGTGCAGTCTCATGTTCATTTTGCACTTCAGGACATAGCTCCAGATGCTCTTTGAACGGAAGGGAAGCAGGACAGCATTAGGAATCTGAGCTGAATCTCAGGGATTTACACGGAACAGCTGCCCTTGTAGACAGCACACCTTTGTATTTACTCTGTGTTGGGTGTAAGAACCTGCAGGTAAGACTTTGGCTGCTAACACAGGGACACACAGGTTCAGGTCTGAGCTTCAGCCAAGCCTGTCACCTTCACGCACTGCTCTCTGGGGTACGAGGACAGCTCAGGCTGCTTTCACTCCCCAGCAGGTACCTCCCATGAGTTTACACCAATGGAACATTGCACTCCTGGATTTTCACCCTAAAACTCTCTTTCTTCCACGGACGATAAGCAAAGCAGTGAACTATCAGCTATTCCCAAGTAAGCCACAAAGGTTATCATGTTTCTGGACTGGTCCGATCCGATGTGACAGAGCAGCTATGACACTCCAGTTACCCCACTGCACTGATTACAGCCACCTTATTTGTGAGTTCCAAGTAATCAGCTCGGAGCTCTGCTACACATAGGGGAGATCCACCAGGATCCCGGTGCTCTGCTCCAGCTGCATCCTTGGGTTTATCCATCCCTTTCCTGCTTTTGAAACAGACTGTCCCCCCACCGTTGGAAGTTTGCTTAAGCCTAATGAGACCAAAGGTTAGCACATAGTGCTCCACTGGTTTGCTTTTCTAATCTCAGTGAGTCTGCAGGCTCCGAGGCTGATCTATTGCAATATTCACCCCTCTGAGCCCACAGCGTGGATGTCTCCAGTTCCCCTGAACTCAACAGATCGACTGCTAATCGCATAAGGGGCCACATATCCCAAATCTGCCTGTCTTTTGCAACATCTGCATCTTTGGAAGCTTTCAAAGCTCTTTGTCTGGACTGGCTGGAGGATCCCATGGGAATCTATTGCACTGCTTTCGTCTGCAAGAAGCAAACTTGTCTGCCAGGGGAATCCCTCGGGAAAGCTTTTCCCAGCCAAGCAGCACTGCGGCCAGCCGCAGCATGCTGCTGCCAGGGCAGCCTTTCCTCCTCCTCCTTTTTGGCACTCGGTGAAATGCTGACTCCAACCTGTTGATAGCGATGGAGGGAAATCTGCAAGGGTCAGCCTTTGACTTTGGCACTGCAGTACGATAGCATGGGAAGGGTTATCAGCGTGCAGGAGCAATCCCACCCCACGTTATCAGCAGTGTCTCCAGCCCTGAAGGCATGCTCAGCCTGAAATTACCCCTTGGCACCCAGCAATGGTGAAAGATTTCCCCTTATGTTTGCACAAGCTCAATGAAATGATTCGATATAGGCCCAGCTTCAGTGGAGTTTGGATTCATCCTTTCAGGCTCCCGAAGGAGGAAACATTCTCCAAACAAGGACAAGGCTTTGAAGGAACTCTTCAGTTCCCATGGGAACTAGCCGGCTCTGTGTTAAGCAGGCACCATTGGATGGTGCTTATGGCAGAATGATGCCCAAGCATTGCAAGCAAAGGGAAGAAGGGCCTGGCACCAGGGGCAAGGCCATCAGGCTAAAGCACAGCCAACTCACTCTCATCCATCATTCATTATTGTTCTTCTGTTATCCAGAGCTACAGAACAGCAGGTACTGGCCTTCTAACCTGTATCTCCCTCCAGTGCTAGTATTATCCCATTCCTGTTTTCTCTACAGTAGTATCTGTGTGGGGGGATTGCTTCTGGAGAAATAAAATAGGATTTTCGAAGAAGTCAGTGCTGGCGCTGAAGTCAGTGGTGAATCAAAGCCCTGCAAACACTGGGTTCCAAATTTCCCTGTAACCCCCATGGTATTAAGAGATGGGATTAAATCCAGCAGCTTCCAGATCCTGACTTTCTCCAATCCAGGAGAGCAGAAATACTAAGTTCTGTAACCACAGCTTTATTTTTATAGCCCCACAGTTAAGTAGGAAAATGTAAGAATATCAGAGGTGCCAGGATAAGGACCCACAGCTCCAAAATCACACGTGAGCCACCTCCCTAAGGGTATAAAGAAGATGCGATCTCGTGTAATGTAATCTGTTGCATTATCAGGTGGATAGCCTGCATGAAAGCACGGATAGTATCTCTCTTATTACTGCAGTAATGAGGCTACAGAAGCAGAAATAAACTGCAGACCCAGGCAGTACCTCTGGGAAATACAGCAGGGACGTACCTTTAGGGATAACATCCAGGAATAAATAAGATAGGCCATGACTCCTGTGCTGCTCCGGCTTTTCCCCCGCCTGGAGAACACCAGCACCGCTCCGTGACCCAGCTGAGCATCTGGGGAAAGAAATGCCGATCATGGATTAGGGATCTGGGAAATCAAGCTTCCAGCAGCCAAGCACTAACACAGTGACAGCCAACAGCTCTCAGCCTGAGCAACAGGACCCTCATGAACCCTGGCAGCAGCAGATGGGCACTGCAGCTCCTGTTGCTGGAAGCCTGAGTTAAGACATGGCATTGGAGACCAGAACTAGATGGCAATGACCAGTCAATGCTTTATTACGCATCGGTGCCACCTTTCCATCAGGTAGCTGAAGAAGAGTGGTCCACCATGAGCAGTCAGCTTGGTCAGCACCACATCACCTCCTCCAGCTCTTCCCAGACAGGTTTAAAGGTGTTGAAATTGCCGATGAATGCAAGCCTGTTGTCCACTCAAGCTGAAGGAATCAGCTCTCAATCTGGAGGGGACTTAGGCTTCAAATTCCTTACTTTTCTATGGGGATTCCTAGCAAGAAGTGTGCATGTGCCAGCTAGGGCACAGGTTTTATGATGTGTTGGTGATGGATAATTTGCAGTCGAATTTGCTAAGACGAGCGAACTCTTCCTCCAAAAGCTAAGCCCAAGGATGCTGTCAGTCACTCCTAACCATGGTAACTCTGCTACGTATGCCTGACAGGCTGCATATTTTATTAATAGCCTTTTGACTGCTTTCCTTCCCTCTCCAGAGCAGGCAGCATGGCATGTTTTTATCAGCAACTGAACTCTAGCGTTCATAGGTCAAAGGTTCTTTTACTGCTGTGAAGAGCTTGTGAGGTTTTGATTATTGTTTAAGCACCAGACCAGTGTTTTATAACTTATTTCTATTGTGAGATACTAGTTCTGTTCTAAGACCTGAGTAAAAATGGCCCCACTCCAACATACACCTGGTGTGATGATATCCCCACTCCTCTCAGAGTATGGGGAAAGCCTTAGTATAGTGTTCACCCATAACCGTTCTAGCTTACATGATTTACTTTAGCCTATCAACAGTTTGACCATCAAGTAAACAGCATACACTAATACAAGAGCTACAGCTCATAAACTCTTACAGTCTTGCTTCTGCAATGCTACTGGGAAAAACCCAGGGCAAAATGAAAGGCAAGGAAGTACATTTTGCTATTTGGGTTTCCATGCATGTGAATCAGTTTAGGACCATTAGATCCTCAAATATCATTTCCTTCTTTCTCTCTTTGTGCCCAGTTTTCATTTCTCATATTGAATGATAAGGTCTGTCGGGACAAAGTGATATTTGCTTCTGGGTTGCTCCAGCGCTCAGCTCAGCAGGGCCTTGGTGTTATTTCATGAGTGTGATAAAAGATAATGATGGGGTTGGACACAATGCCAGGATGGAGCTGTGGGAGCTGTGTCTGCTGTGGGCACTGAGCTGGAGAGCATGTATTTTCTTGCCTTCTCTGATGCAATCAGTCGAAGGCAGGTTTGTGCTGTCCAACCTGAAAGTCTTCCCAGGCTCTACAGTGGGTCTGCACTGCAACTCAGACTGTGGGGAGCTCTCTAGTGTGTGTCACTCTCTGGTTCAAATAAAGCTCGGGTGGCTGAAGATTTGGACTGGTAAGAGTCAAAGGTGTCCACTGGGGTGTGGGCTGGCTTGGGAGCATACTGATTTTGACCGCTCCCCACCCTTCTGTCTGAGCTTCCTGTGCAAGTGAATCACAGTTGCTCCCCCCTAATGTCCTACAGTGAGCAAGGTCTCAGGGATCACAGAGCAGGAACAACTCACCTATGAAATGACAAATGGTGGGAAAGAAAGAAGAAAGATCTGCTTCAAGTGTATCTGGAACAGGCATGTGGAGGTATCTGTTTATGTCTGCAAACCTGGAAAAACAGCACATTGTGTGATAGGAACCAGAGAAGCAGCTTTGAGAAAGATGCTTGTTGAAGGCAAGCTGACAGTTGTCTTTGCCCTGTTACATGTGCGAGCTTTACATCATTATCATTGTTAGCATTATGATAAGGGATTTGTTATGGTAAGACACCAAGACACTCGTAACACAGAACCAGTTTAATTACTAGTTTTCCATTCCACATGGCATCAGCATTGGTATCTTAACTTGATCTACAGCTTCCTTATCTGAGAAACATCAGTAATTCAGCTTTTACACTGATGTGTTTGTAAGATTGTGCTCTGGAAGCTGTTCGGAGATGTAGGTTCTTTGTGAAGGAGGGCAGAATGTGACAGACTCGAAATGCCAAGGGCTTCCCAGTCCTCCTGTCACTCAACCCACCCATGTCACCGTGGAGGGCTGCAGAACTGCATTGCAGCTGTGCTAGCTCTGGAGTGCAGATCAGAAACAAGAGCATGAAACAGCACTAAGATCTGCAGCAAACAACAGGGGCTTCCCTGGCCCTGACTCCTCTGTGAATGGGATCTGGTGCTGCAATGGGCTCTGGTGCTGCGCCACCTCCCTCTTTCCACAGGCACAGACGTTGGTGAGGGTAATGCATTACTGAACGTACGATGTGTGCTGTTCTGAGATGTTGACTTGTGCGTGGATCTTCAGGTGTTCCTGTATTTGATAGTTATGGGCCTGCTTGATATTGCCCATATATAACTTCGCAGGTAGTATTTCTACGGGGTATGTCTGGAATTTGGCCAGCTCCTGCCAGGGAGAAACCATTGGCTCAGTTTAGAGAGTGTATTTGCTTCCATTTGCTTCGTAAGTTCTTAAAGGTAAGTCATGTGAAGAGCTGAACACAGGCTTAGGCAACAGCCCATGACACGTTCTACTATAATGGCTCATTCAATCACCTGGACTTTGTGTATATCAGTCTTTGTTAGATGTACTGAGAGTCATTAACAGCATTGCTGTCATTGTGGCCTCACTTGAAACAAACCCTAACTAAACAGGAGTCTTTCCATTTCTGGGGTACTGCAGCATAACAGACTCATTTGATGTTCTCCCTGCTTACTGTTTGCAAGGCTGAATGGCATCACCTGCCACCTGCAGAGCTGCAGGTGCCCTGGTGTGGCACAACACCAGTGTGCAACTGCATCCTGTGTCTGTGTGTGAAGGCTGGGCTGCCAGCAGTGCCTCTACATCCCTGATACTCAGCTGATGCTGCAGCAGAACAAAGCAGAAGCCTCACAATTTAAAGCAACAGAGAGCAACAGCTTAAACTGAGAGCTCAGTCTGATGTGGAAGTTCAGCAGTTTGCTGCTCTTCACAGAGGAGCACAAAGCAAACTGGTTTTCAGTGCTGTGCTGCCGCGTCCTGCAGGTTAGCACCGTATCATTCTGGTCTGATTCATGTGAATCAGAAGTGACTAGGAACCACAGAAACAAAAGACGTGTTGCAATGAGATGCTCTCTGCTGTACAGCACCCTCTGAATCTGCTCTGCCTCAGGTCCTTAGATGTGAAAAAAGGGTAATTGTTTCTCATAAGCTAAATAGATTGATGTTCCTAGGTGAAACCCAACAATGAGGACGCCAGTGCTGCAGTAGATGGCTGTTTTCTTTCACAATGCAGCAGCACCTGGTTTGTGATCCTTTCCAATGAAAAGCTTTACAGACATGGAGCACAGTGCTTGATAGGGTTTGTACTTCTGTCTGAAAACATTTACTGTGCATCACCCCCGGTAACCACATGTGAGAGAGGAGCCTGCCTCTTTTCATCATTTACTACTGTTTGTTCAGTTGTCTGTGCTATCAGTAAGCCAGTTTTGGGGTTGTCAGAGAAACCCTCCCAGGTTGTTCTCGTTAGCAATAGAAGAGGGAGGAAAGAAAGACAAAGTACAGCTGTCAAAGAATTAGTGGTGAGACTCAGGGCAAGCACAGCCACTCAAATGACATTGGATTCCTCTCTTTAAAATGACTCTAATGTGAGGTTTAGGCCACCCTCATCAGCCATCATCACCTGAATATGAATGCTGATGTCTTCTATTTGCAAGTTAGTCTTGTCTTACCCAGGGCATCCACACAGTCCTCTGAGTCGTCAGGAAATGATAGCAAGCTGAAAAGTTCTTGTATCCTCCCTTTAGGACGAGCACGGGGTGGCTGGTGAACTGCTTTAAGCCTTCAGCATAGTGGATGGCAGGTCCCTTCTTGGCTTCTAAATGAGATCAAAAAGCTCTTTGGCAGGGTCAGATCATCTCCATCAGTGCTGGGGGTTACCTCTGTCCCACTGACACCCACAGCAAATTCCTTCTCATTCCATCTAATGCTCTGGAGAAAGCCTTGCTAAAAGCTAGACTCACTCTTTAACTGTTGCTGCAGGTCAGTAACATGGCATGCTGCTTGTCACTTCTTGTCCTGAGCTTTTATTCCTCTCCTGGTTTCTTCTGTAGGTCTAGATAAAAGCTATTTTTCCTCCTCCCCGTTATGCATTAAGAAATGCTTGTAATAAGTTCCCATAATGGGGAAGTATTATCAAATTAGATCTATTAATCTTAGTTTTATGGAGGCTCTTGTCTTTAGTCTGTTTTAGGCAAACGGGAAGAGGAGGAGGTATATTGAATACATTCTTCATGTTTTAAACACTCCCCTCAGTGAAGTAAATTATGTGAGATGACTGCTCCCACTCCTTCTCCCAAGGGATCCATCCCCCTTGCTTCTAGCTATGTCTGATTTGGGAACAGATCAGCACAATAGAAACCCACTTCTGACTCTTCACACCTTCCCTTACTCCTGTCTCATCACTGTTGTGCAGTGATGAACACGCTTGCTTTATTCATTCCCCTTACACTCCCATGCTTTTGTCTTTAAAAATCTTGACTAAAACTACAGTAGCCTTTATACAGCTAAATCGGAGCCAAACAAACACACACAAGCGGCTCTGCACACAGCAGAACTCCTTGCCAAAGGATGTGTGCGAGCTAAACACTTCCACGGTTCAAGGAAGGCTGAACAATTGCATGGCAATGTTTCCAGCTCTTCACATTTCGCAGTGAACTTCACCAAGTCACTACGCCCATTAAAGCAAAGCCCTTTGAAATAGGATGATGGGAAAGCCTTTTGTAACCCTCTGAGAAGGAAGTACTCATGTTGTGAAGACGTGGAACTTGAGTCCAAAAACCTGCTTCCTGAAAGGCAAGGACAAGCCCAATCTCAGTGAAATGTAGGGGAAAAAAGAACCCATTCCTCACACAGGATAAGAGGCTTCAGAGGGATCAGTGTACAGCTAGGAAATCAGGCCTGCCAGGACGCTTTGGAAGAAAATCTGGGGTTTTAAGCCTAAGAACACACGCAAGACAGTCAGAGGCATAGCACAGATGTTCGTTTCTTAAGTAAAACTGAGTAAATTCATCTCTCTTCCAATAAGCTCATAAAATGAAATGAGGAATGGGAAGAATATCTATCTGACAGCGAGGTCTTGACTACCATGGGTCACACGTACCTCCTCCTTCATCAGAGTCACTGCAATCCAACGAGCTGGTCTTGTAGTCATACACCACGCAGTATCTGACGCACGCCAGCTCCAGTGGAGTCGGGATCAGATGCCCCCCCGTAAGATCCTGCCAAAATAACAGAGGAATTCTCTCAGGAGCACAGCCCCACTCTTGTGGCATCAACACTATTGACATTTTGCAAGATGCTACTGTATAGCAATGGGACAGATTTGGGTCTGTGCCTGCACTTGACATCGAAAGACCCAGATAGAATTCAGTAGTGATGCAAACTACACCAGATTGCTTCATCAGCCACAGCAGCAAAGATGCCATCACTTTGTCCTTCGTGAGACAAGGCTACAATAAGTTAGTTCTTGTGCAACGTTCCTCCTGATGTACAGCTCCTGGTGCCAGTCCTTTGAGCTACTGGAGCTGCCTTTGCTTTGTGACAGAATACAACCCCCCAGTGGCAGAAGTGGAATATGGCTGGAACAGGCTGGGACAATTCCCATGGGTTCTAAGGCAATTTTGGCTCACTGCTAATTGCTATATCCAGGGATGGTTTACACAAACGGACCTGTGTAATCCTGCGGGCTGTAAAAATATGGCTCTCATCATATTCAGGTTCAGTGCGGACATCTGAAAAACAAACCCGAACAGCCAAGGCAGAGCAATTGGTTTATTTGATGCTTAAAGGTAGATTCCTCTTTGTCATTCAGCCAGTGGGAATTCAGGTACTGACATCAACCAGAGAATGAGATATAGGTTTTTAGGGGCTGAGAGTTTCTATGTGGATATAACAGACACCAGCACTGGTGCGAGTCTATGTGCAATGCCATATGTTACATTCAGGTCATGAACATCCCAGAAATGGGGAGAGGGGCATCCAACCCCACTCCCAAACTGGCTGACTCCCTCACAAAAGCATTTGATATTGCACTATCAGGCACCCTTTGGGGGGTATTGGCACCATGTGAGGTGCAAATGCTATGGGCAATCTTACTGCAATGGTCAGAAATCCACGTCTACAACCCCTGGGAGCAGCAGAGTGTACCTGTGTATCCTTGGGACGGATTGGAGCAGCAAGAGCTGTATGTGATGAAAACCAGAGAGTACCATGTCATAGCACCTGAAACACCCCAAATGCAACCCCTACTAATAGCAAGAAGTGACATGTGCTGTTGCCCATAGCTGGAGCTCACAAACCCCATTGCCTTGGGATGCTGGTCCAGGCTGGCGTGTGGTGCCTGGCTGCAGGCATGGTCAGGCAGTGCCCGTGTGTCAGTGTGTCAGTGTCAATGTGTCAGTGTCAGAGCGTCAGTGTCAATGTGTCAGTATCACTGTCCATGTGTCAGTGTCAGTGTGTCAGTGTCTGTATGTCAGTGTCAGTGTCTCTGTGTGTCAGTGTGTAATGTGTGGGGTTTGTTCATAGAATCATAGTAAATTTAGGGTTGGAAAGGACCTTAAGATCATCAAGTTCCAACCCCCCTGCCATGGGCAGGGACACCTCGCCCTAAACCATATTACCCAAGGCCTCGTCCAACCTGGCCTTGAACACTGCCAGGGATGGAGCATTCACAACCTCCCTGGGCAACCCATTCCAGTGCCTCACCACCCTAACAGGAAAGAATTTCCTCCTTATATCCAATCTAAACTTCCCCTGTTTAAGTTTGAACCCGTTACCCCTTGTCCTATCACTACAGTCCCTAATGAAGAGTCTACACCCAGCATCCCTATAGGCCCCCTTCAGATACTGGAAGGCTGCTATGAGGTCTCCACGCAGCCTTCTCTTCTCCAGGCTGAACAGCCCCAACTTTCTCAGCCTATCTTCATACGGGAGGTGCTCCAGCCCCTGATCATTCTCGTGGCCTCCTCTGGACTTGTTCCAACAGTTCCATGTCCTTTTTATGTTGAGGACACCAGAACTGCACACAATACTCCAAGTGAGGTCTCACGAGAGCAGAATAAAGGGGCAGGATCACCTCCTTGGACTTGCTGGTCACGCTCCTTTTGATGCAGCCCAGTATATGGTTGGCTTTCTGGGCTGCAAGTGCACACTGCTGGCTCATGTTCATTTTCTCATTGACCAGCACCCCCAAGTCCTTCTCACAAGTCTTTGTGTGCAGCCAAAGGGTTTAAAGGGAAATATTGCTTGCTACACTCTAAGAAACTCTCTGTAACTGGAAACATATTCCTTTTTCGTAACTTTTGTACTTCGTGAGTTACGAAGGGAAGTCAGTTGTATTATTACACAAGATTTAAGAATTTCCTCCTTATATCCAATGTGTCAGTGTGCGTGTGCCAGTCAGCAGTGCCCCCAGCTCACCCAACAGGCACAGGTGCCTGGGGTCTACCACCCGCGGCAGCAGCCGGTGCTGGTTGAGGATGTTGCAGAGTTCCCTCGGCTGGCACAGCTCTATCCCCGCCATCCGAACGCGAACTCCAGCTGTCGTCGACTGCTCACAACCCGCCCGGCTACGTTGCCGTGACAACGGCCCTGCCGTTACTACGCAGGTCCGACGGCCGTTAACGGAGGTGTCAGATCCCGCGAGATTTCCGCCCAAGGGAGGGGAGATAGGAAGTCTCGCGAGAGTAGCAGCATTTCCGCGCAGGCGCTTCCCTGTGGAGGTCGTTGGAGTCACGGACCCGCGCCATGCTGTCCCGCATCGCCCGTCCCGCAGCCGCTACCGGTAGCGGTGCCTTGCGCCGCGGCATCGCCACCTCCGCGCAGGTACGGGCCGGGCCCGAGCCCCCCGGCGGCGGATAAAGCGCCCTGAGGCGGCCGCGGGTGTCCGAGTGCTGAGGGAGGGGAGCGCGGCTGAGGGTAGGGGTGAGGTCTGGTCCTGACGGGACAGAATCGGCCGGGCCGTACTGAGGCTTGTTTGCTGCTGCCTTCGTGCCCTTTAAGCGCTGAAGCTGGTGGTTTGGGGGTTATCAGTAAATCCTTCATGTTCTGAAACCTCAATATTCTGAATCTTTAATATATTCTGAATCCTTAATATGCTGAAAGTATGTGATTTAATACCAGCAGAGGACTGTGGCTGTGTACAGAGACCGGCCTCTCTCTTCTAGTGTGAACAGCACCCAGTGGCCTATCACAGAATGCTTCTTTAAGGATATGCTTTGTAAGAGAGGCTGCTGTGATTGTTTTGCTATGAATTCTCTTCATTATCGGTGAGGTTTTGGCCTCATGGTATCAGCTCAGCCATAAACACTGGGCATTGCAGTGACTAGCGTTAGACTGTGCTTTCCTTTGGGGAGCTTTGTGCTAACCCACGTTTGTTGCAATAGCAAGAGAACCAAGCAGAGGTTAGGCTGATCTAGCTCCTGGGTCGATTAGTTCTCGTCAGAGTATAATAATTAAGCGGTTCATGGTGGGGCTTAGAGCTGTTATGGCTTTATCTGCAAAGGCAGTGTGATAGAGAATGTCCTTATCAGCAGTAATTGTATTACCATGTCATGTCTGTGTGTTAGCCTGTAATTCTCTGTCACTGTGCCGGAGTGTTGCAGTTTCAGGTTGTTCTGGACTTTGAAAGTTGTTTTCCTAACATCTACAAATAGGAGAAGAGGCGTTTTTGAAAGGATTAACCTCCTCCCAGTGAGCACATTAGAGTTCAGATTGGTTCACCAGGGCAGCAAACCAACGTTTCTATTACTGGCTTCAGCCACTGTTTATCAAAGCTGGAAATACAGTCACTTAAAGCTCTCAAGCCTCAGTCCTTAGGCAGCCAGAGCTACTGTTTTGAATCTGTTTCAGGCATACATGTTTTCTTCACATATACAATCATTATTGCATTTATCGTGGTCCATCAAGTGTATTGATTTTCCAAATGGGCAGGTGTACTTTCTTCTTACACTGGCAGTGAAAACTAGAATCAGATTTTGTCCAAAATCAGACCTGGGCCCACAAGGTAGCAGGTATTAGTCTCAGGCAGACTTTTCCATCTTTTGGGTTACTTTGCCTAGTTTTGCTTCCCTTTTGAGCTTCAGGTCACAAAAGAACATTTGCCCTACCAGTAAACCTCAAGGATCTTTGCAAGCTGTCCTGATGGTCACTTTCTGTGGGTTTAGGCAATTGAGTTTGTGTGGTGCTGCATAAAAACATGGGGAAATAGAACTAAAAGCAAAGAGAGCGTGGTGAAATCCCAAGGTCACTGATGCAGCTACATCTGCAGTAACCAGAATGGTGTTTGTCATCTTTTGTCCTCAGAACAATGCCAAGGTAGCAGTGCTTGGGGCCTCTGGGGGCATTGGGCAGCCTCTCTCCCTTCTGCTGAAGAACAGCCCGCTGGTGAGCAAGCTCAGCCTCTATGATATTGCTCACACTCCAGGCGTGGCAGCTGACCTCAGCCACATTGAGACAAAAGCGAATGTGAAAGGTACTGTGCACTGCTGGAAGTGATTCTGAAGGGGTCCTTAGGGTGTTGTCTCATACTTGAAGATGCCCATTGCTTGTGAAGGGAAATCTTGAAGCCTACTGTCAATTTAAGTAGCTTTTACTCAAGCTACGAGTGAAGGCTTAGCTGATTAGATGAAGATGGGCTGTTGTTGCACTGTTGAAGGGGAATTCCTAATAACTGGCAGGAAACATTCAGTAAAATCATCTTGGGGGGGGTAGGGGGGGAAGCCTGAGCATTGAATACTGCAGGTAGACTGAAGCTCCCTGGGCATCTGTGTGAGTTCTGTGTGCTGCTGTTCTGAAGGGACAGCTGTCAAGTTCTGATGAAACCAAAACATCATCTACTGATGTTCATTTTATCCAAGGAGCACCAAGAGGTTGCATTTGACTTGAATGTGCCTATCTGGAATTCTCTGGGGGTACTGACTAATGCAAGCTAGGGGGGTTGGGGAGCTAAATACATATAGCAGGAGGAACTGAGGGGTTTTGAAACAGATGAATGTGAGATTCTCAGCGCTTACTCTGTAAGTTTTGAAATGATATAACATCAAATAGAATCCATCTGTAGTTGTATTGCTTTGCTTTTCAGCATAAGGCTGAGTTGAAGGCTCAGTTAAATAAGGAATTGGGTGCTTCTGGGCATAATCTTACATTTCAAAGTGTCGGGTATTGAATAGCTGGCAAAACCATAATGCCTGAATGTCTTCCATTTCAGGCTTCATGGGACCTGAGCAGCTGCCAGAATGTCTGAAGGGCTGTAATGTTGTAGTTATTCCTGCAGGAGTACCTAGAAAACCAGGTATGTTCTCTTTGTTAAAAAGCCCTAGGGCTTCATTGAAGTGTGTCTCTGCAGTAGTGTTATTCAAATAGAGCTGTATCTGGTGCTTTGTGGTACCGTTGGCTTGGGATATAAGTGTCTATTAATGACACTGGCCTAGAGTTTGCTTGTTGTCGTATCAGGTATCTCATTTAGCCTGTCTCTTGGATTGTCCCTCCTAAAATGGGCAGGATTGATTGCTGGGGTTCCTGTGTAGGGATGAGGTGCAAAGACTTCTCATGCAAGTGATCCTGAATCTCCCTTTGTGTTTTTTGCCCAGAGCAATGCTCTAGTGAAAAACCTGGTTTCATTTCTCAGTGGAACAGACATAATCTATTTGTTTTTCATTAACTGTTCTATAACTTCTGTGGGCATCTCTGAATGAATGCTGCTAAGGCTTCCTGGAATGTCTCTGACCTGCTCCATTTCTGCTCTGTTTTTCACTACCCTATTGGGAATGTAAGAAAATCCTAGACTTGATAGCCTAGTTCTTTCTAATTCTTAATTTTTCATGGTTAAAGTAGCTGCTGCACCAAAAATAAGAGGTGGCACTTGCAGCAAGCAGCAGTATTGTACACAGAGCAGTTGGCATTCAGACTGTAGCTGTGGAGGTGACTGCAGAGGAGAAGGGAACTCAGGAGCAGTTATGCAGTGGTACGGTGGTGTCAGTGTGGTCACACTGTACCTCAAGCTGCCTGGGTGACATAGATCCTGCTGGTTGACACTTGAGTGGGTTGCTCCTGAAGAGGGCTGCTCCATCTGAAAGGGCAGAAGTCTTTTATTAGTGAGAGGAGTTCTGTTTGGGGCCAATTCATTGCTGCAGCTGCAGGGAGTTTCCTCTTGATATATGAATCCAGAAGCTGACGTTCCTTTCTCCAGAGCAGAGTTTTGACTGGGTTGCTTGCCTATTAGTAAGTAGAGTATGAATAACTTAAAATACTGTATGGGATGTGTTTTAGGTATGACCCGTGATGACCTGTTCAACACCAATGCTAGCATTGTTGCTACTTTGACATCTGCCTGTGCAAAGCACTGTCCAGAAGCCATGATCTGTATCATTTCTAACCCGGTAAGCGTCTTGTGGAGACCTTGAAAATGTACAGGGGCGGGGGGAATACCCCACCCCAGACTGAGAATACTGCAGTAATCTGAGTTCCTGTTAGTTTTGACCAGTATCTTCAAGGCCTACAGTGCTATGTGCAGGAAAGGAGTAAAAGCCTGATTCTACTAACCTATTTTTCTTGGCTGTATTAAGTCAGAGGAGACTTGAATATGAAAGTGCGTAGTATCTCTACATTGGTATGCCAGTGGTTCTAGTACATGCTGGTGTTTTAGCTGGAATAAATGTCTTAGCTCCCTAAGGGTACAGCCTTTGTAATGTGAATGAGCAAATTTATTGTCTTAATGGTTATTTAAAATGGATGAGTTCCTGACTGTAAATTGCTCTTCAATTTAGGAATTAAAGTAATTGGCTGCAGTTGACTTCAGGTTGTTTACTGGCCTGTTCAGTTCATGCACTGGCTTCATTATTACACTGGTTTCAACAAACGCTTGCCTTTTCTTGCTTATAGGTAAATTCAACCATCCCAATCACTTCTGAAGTCTTCAAGAAGCATGGAGTGTATAATCCCAAGAAAATCTTTGGTGTTACAACGCTGGACATTGTCAGAGCGAATACTTTTGTGGCTGAACTAAAGGTAATTCATAGTGACAGATGCTGGGGGAAGGATGCTGCCTGTTTCAGTCATCAGATCTATCAACGCTGTGTTTAAAATCACTGCAGAGGGCCGAAGGAGCTCAGATTTCTGTAGAGCTAGAGGTGAAGGCAGTGATTCCCTGCTCTCTTCTCTAGAGCAGCCTGAGATAGGGTTTCTTGCAATATGTGATTCAAGAGTCTTTGACCTTTCCTCTTGATAGCTGTCCCCTGTGAGGAAGCTACGTGTTCATCTTCATTCCGTTGGCATTTGCAGGTGCAGCTGGAGGAGAGGGTTGAATTTTGTAGGGTGTATTTGCAAGTCAAGCTATCAATGCTGTGTGTTACAGGATATTCTGCAATTATCAGGAGGTGTAACAGGTTCCTGCTCGTAATATCCCTGATGAACTTTACACATGCGCTGCTATTTATCTGAACTTGTATTAATAATATCCTGTACCTGTCCAAAGTTAACAGAGTAACCTGGAGTTCAGCTCCATAGATCTGGCTTTGTTCTTGG